GCCTGGCCTGTGCCTCGGTTTCCCTGGAGGAGGGAGGAGAAACCCCTGCCCCGAGCCCTGTGCCAGCCCCATCAGATCCAGCTGTCTTTAAGGACATCCCGCAAGTGGTGCGCAGCCCTGTACCCCCCGCAAGCGTGTCCCCTGCCCTGCTTGAGCCCTGGGGTGCTGCCGGAGGGGGCATGAAGCCCTGACAGCTCCCTCCCACCCCCAGTGACTGGTATATAATGCTGTGGGGGCTGCGCCAGGCCCCCCTGCTGAAGCAGCCTGTGTGCTGGAAGATCACCCCTGTGGGCTGGTCCACGGGGCTGAGTGGCAGGGGCGAGGAGGCGGGGGACCCCGCCCCCCCCCCGCCATCCCCCACTGCCGCCGACAGTGGGCCCACACCGTCCCGGGGGGAGTGGGATCCCCTGCCCCCAGGTACGGAGCTGAGCTGGGGGGTCTGAGGTGGGGGAGGGATGGCACAGGGAACTGGGAGAAAATAGTGGGGCAAGGAGCTGTCGGTGCCTCAGTTTCCCCACCTTGGGGGTGGGGGGGAAGTCTCAGGGCCCCTCAACCGCACCAGGCTGGGGTTGAGCTCAAGGGCTTTGGGCCGGGAGGACCCTGCTGTGGGGTGCAGGTCCTGCTGTGCCCCTCCCCAGCTCTGCTCCCCACCCCCAGCTTAGGCCCAGCGCCTGCGGGAGGTGGCCTGGTGGGACCCCATCGTCCCCACTGTGTACCCGGGACCCTGCACCCACTGGGGACCCTTCCTCTGGCAGGAGAGACCTGTCCTGGGGAAGGAGTATGGTAAGAGCTGGGGGGCCTGGCTGGCTGCAGGGCCCTGGGGCCCCCAGCTGCGCCCCCTCTCACCCCCTTCCCCTGTTGTGGATTGTCTCCTGCCTAAATCCCGACACGGAGACCTCTGCTCTCTTCCCAGTTCTCTCCCCTCCCCTCTGCTTCCCAGTTGTCACCGGCAGCCAGAGCCCCGGGGCACTGAGGGGCAGCTCAGGATATGTCCCTCTGCTGTCCTTCTGCTGCCCCCCCCACCACCACCCGG